TGTGTTTAATAGGGTCTTAGGTAACATTAGAATACGAAATAAAATGTATTTCAAAGAACACAATAGCATTTTCATTAGTTTATGTAACTGTAGGCTATATGTACAAAATAAAAAAACACAAAAACACCACAATTCAAGTGTTACAATCTATTAAACAAGCACCATCACAACGATCATTTATTATTAATTTGTTAAGGGCAGTTCCAAAGGAATTAATTTATGAATTAAAGATAATGCATTTCAAAAGAACAGAATGTCATATTTTTATATGTGTGAAATTAGTTTTTATATAGTTTAGGTGTAGTTTTGGGGGGGGAATGACGTCTCCTCTTAAAATTGCTTATAAGACTAATTCTGTTTGTGATATTAAGATTCTAACAACGATAGCATGTTAGATAGACTTATTAAGGAAAAGTCAAGGACAGGCGGGACATAACTTTAAAAAATGGCAGTGTAATTAAAAAAGTAAATTTGTTTTGTGTCAATATGAAGCTCTCCTGCTCTCCTAGTGTTAAATGTTTACATTTGTGGCAGCCTAGCCTAGCTTAGCCTAGTTTATAGCCTAGCCTAGCCTAGTTTAGCCTAGTTTATAGCCTAGCCTAGTTTATAGCCTAGCCTAGCCTAGTTTAGCCTAGTTTATAGCCTAGCCTAGCCTAGTTTAGCCTAGTTTATAGCCTAGCCTAGTTTATAGCCTAGCCTAGCTTAGCTTAGCCTAGTTTATAGCCTAGCCTAGCCTAGTTTAGCCTAGTTTATAGCCTAGCTTAGCCTAGTTAATAGCCTAGCCTAGCCTAGCTTAGCCTAGTTTATAGCCTAGCCTAGCTTAGCCTAGTTAATAGCCTAGCCTAGCTTAGCCAAGTTTATAGCCTAGCCTAGCCTACTATCTCCTGGTCGCCGAGCCAGTGAGAGGTTGCCAAGCCTATTGTGATTATTACTGTTATATCAGGGCATTATGTTCTAGTCTCATAGTCTATTAATTACAGGCCTATGGGTTATTATGTGTAGGTCCATGTGAGTCGCATGTTAAATGCAAGTCAGATTTACCTACAGGCCTACAAGACTATTTGGTCTGTAATGTGAAATCACATGTTAGATGTTTGTTTGTGTGCGATCGATTACAGTAGGGTATATGGTAGGCTTTTATTATAATTTAATGATGATTTGAGAGCCCAAATTTTGGCCCACCTATATTTTTGCTGGCCCTGCCATCGACAGATTTCAGCCTACACCACTGATGTAAAGACGTCATGTCATGCTGTTGAATAGAGAAAAAGAAGTAACTCACTGTGGTGTTATTGTTCTCATCTCATAACATTGACGCTGCGCTACCCTGCCCCCTTGTGGCCTCAGCCCAACACTACCATTACTCCCCTACTGGTAAAAGCCTCTGCTTCCATCCAGGCTTCTTCAGCTGAGTGATAAACAAGACTTGGAAAGTATGGCAAGGCGAACAGTTTGAGATGTCATTTATATGGAAATAAGATATTATCCGAGAGATGAGAATCAATAAATGAACAAATTGCTCACTCAATAATATGACCTCCATACCCATCCTCATATGATCTAGAACAGGGATGGTCAACATGCGGCCTGAAGGCCCTTGGAGCAATAAGAAAAAACACAAAAAACTCAGTCGGGGTCTCAACTTACTGTTGCGAGTTAGAATAGTAGAATACACAAGGTGCAATTTCGAAATTTGGTTGTGTCAGTCATTGATAGTCACTCAATTAGCAGGAAATTAGTTATAAAATTGCCCATCCCTGATATAGAACATTTGTTTAAATTAAAATGTCCTTCCTACTGTTGTGTGGTACATTTGAGGTAGTATGGAATGCCGTTTGGGTCTTTGCGTGTCAAAAAAGATACACGTCAAATAACACTATTTGACCCGTCAAATAAGCGGTTTAATTTGACACGTCAAATAACAAGATTCTATTATAAAATGTTGTGTGTTGTCAAGTTGCGTCAATTCAAATCTGGTATTAGGAACAAAAAGAGGTCAATACACGTCTTCTAAAATAGACTAGTATTTTAATTAACTGAAAAACCACGCAGGGCAGACAGAGAACTGAGCCATTGTTATAAGTTCTTCTTTAAATACTCTGACAGAGATAGTTCCCGCTCCCTGCTGGGCCTGTCAGAGTAGAGACTGAGCGTGGTTTAAACTTACCCAACCTATCGACGGCGCACAGGCTGGTCCCAGCCCCTTGGCGCTTCACTGTTGCCGGGCATTAGTTGTTATCTTTACAACTTGTCTCGAGTCAGCAACTTCAGACATAGTTTGTTCTTCTTTGTAGCAGAACACGTCCTTGAGCGGTTTAACAAAGAGGCAGTGTGTGTGTGTGAGTCACAAGTCTGTCTCAGCCTATCCCTTAACGGTTCCTCACATTAAATCACAGCTTGTTATGTTAAACAATCTATATCAGTACAGCACAAAACCTATTATGTTTAATCATTAATGTATTCTTTCTAAGCTAGGCAACACATCTAGTTATAAGAAAATAGATCCCCACCGTGCGCTGAATGTGCACGTGTAAGCCAAGCGCCACCACTATGATCAGTAGCACTGTCAAAGCTGTACAAAAAAAACGAGTCTGAAAACAAGCACACACACCGGCCACGATGTGTGTCCAATACCGCGTCGGTAATAAGGCATTATTTGTTCGACCGAATGGGAAAACGTCTGTGTGAGCGTTTGAAGTAAGAGCAGGATCAAAAAAAAGTTTGCAAATATCTTTGATGCAGATGTTATTAGAAACTTTAGCTTGGTACCGTCCTCGCTAGCACCAATGCAACCAGCCTGAAATCAATGAACAGTAGAAACTACAGTCATTTTCAATATTCTTAGCAATGATTTAGGAATCCATGTGAGTAAGTATTAGCTAGGTAGCCACTTGTTGTTCTCCTATTGAAATCGACCTTCAGTTCATGAACATAACTAGCTAGCCAGAGCTAACGTTATAACAGGCAGCTAGCTTCATCTGGCTAGTGGCTAGTGAGGCTCGACCCGGATCGGGTTATGCGTTATGCCACAATAAGGACTAGCCACAATAGTGGAATTTGCAGGTTCGCCTTCAAAATAAAAGGACCTCTTTGAAAGTGACGCAAATGGTTACAATTTGGGTGAATCATGCCATATTTAGACTAGATAATGTTAGAATGTGGAGCAATGAAATGGGTTATCAGTCTACCACAGAACACAGCTGTGAAGAGTTTAGACAAATATCAGCATCTTAGTTCTTATTGCAGGACTTTGGCTGTGGGAAATCACCATCCCCAGTCAGCCTTTTGTGTGTATTGACATTAATATTGCACTGTACAGTCTTACCGAAGGATTTGGGATCAATGCAATGGGGTATCAGTCTGCTCGGTAGCTTACACGTTGTATCAAATGGCTACAATATATAATATACCCTATTACAGAATAAAAGAGAGGTGAACTATCAATTCATATAATTTATTTGCATAGATTAAACACGCTATCAAATCAATTGACCAACTAGTGAACATAAATCACTACTACATAGAACTGCAGTAAAAACAGCCTTTTATGTGGTGTATTAATGCATCTCAATAAACTATAACTTAAATGCATTATTACCTCCAACTTGGCCCAATTCACATTTCCAATAGCCCACCCTGACATACCAAGCTAGAACGGGCCCTGCCGCCTCAACCAATAGGCCCACCCTGGTACAATACCAAGCTAGAAGGGCCCTGCGCCATAACCCCAAGCTAGAACGGGCCCTGCGCCTCAACCAATAGCCCACCCTGACATACCAAGCTAGAACGGGCCCTGCGCCTCAACCAATAGCCCACCCTGACACACCAAGCTAGAACGGGCCCTGCGCCTCAACCAATAGCCCACCCTGACACACCAAGCTAGAACGGGCCCTGCGCCTCAACCAATAGCCCACCCTGACATACCAAGCTAGAACGGGCCCTGCGCCTCAACCAATAGCCAATATAGGCTAAATATCCCACGCAGGGCTACAGCAACTTGCAGAGAGGGTCAGGCTCCTTGGGCTTTGCGGTGGCCACTCTGGTTTGGGTGTCCTCGGCAGAATGGTGTCGCCGTAACCAAGTGGTCACATATCATTCTGGGTTCCACTGCGCAAGAGGGGGGGTCCGTGGAGATTTATGAACATCAAGGCAGACACAGTGAATTTTGATTTTTTTTTTCTCAACTTTCTGATTGGCCAAAGTGGTCAAGCCCCAGACATGTAACCTATAGTTCTTCATCATTCACCGACAGAGGGAAGAAGAGAACACCATTTACCTCTAGGCTGCTATACATATTTATCTGGTTTGTCATTCTGTCCTTTCTTCATGGAATTTTAGTGGTAATTAAATATAATTGATTTAGAATTTATCAGAATACATTTTCCAGAAACAATGGTCCTTCTCCTCAGAGCCAATAAATTATTCCTGCCACAACTCCTCTACTCCTCTGCCTCTCTCTCCTCCTCCTTCTCTGCCTCTCTCCTCCTCCTCCTCCTCTGCCTCTCTCCTCCTCTGCCTCTCTCTCCTCCTCCTTCTCTGCCTCTCTCTCCTCCTCCTCCTCTGCCTCTCTCCTCCTCCTCCTTCTCTGCCTCTCTCTCCTCCTCCTCCTCTGCCTCTCTCCCCTCCTCCTTCTCTGCCTCTCTCCCTCTCCTCCTTCTCTGCCTCTCTCCCCTCCTCCTTCTCTCCTCTCTCCTCCCTCCTCCTCTCTGCCTCTCCCCTCCTCCTTCTCTGCCTCTCTCCCCCTCCTCCTTCTCTGCCTCCTCCCTCTCTCCTTCTTCCTTCTCCCTCTCCTCCTCTTGCCTCTCCCCTCCCCCTCTCTCCTCCTCTCTTCCTCCTCTCTCTCCTCTCTCCCCCTCCTTCGCCTCTCCCCCCCTCTCCTCCTCTCTCCCCTCTCCTTCTCTCCCTCCCCTCTCCTTCTCTCCTCCTCTCCATCCCTCCTCTCTCCCTCCTCTCATCCTTCTCCCTCCTCCCTCCTCTCCTCTCCTCTCCTCTCCCTCCTCTCATCCTTCTCCTCTCCCCTCCTCCCTCTCCCTTCTCCTCTCCCTCCTCTCATCCTTCCCTCCCTCCATCCTGGCTAGGATGTGAAAAACGTTCTGATTGAAGTCATCTGGCTGGTCAGCAAACACATAGTGACCTCCTCCCCTTATCACCTGGAGAGAGAGAGAGAGAGAAAAAAATATGTATTTTCCCTTTTGTACTTTAACTATTTGCACATTGTTACAACACAGTACATAGCCATAATATAACATTTGAAATGTCTCTATTCCTTTGAAACATTTGTGAGTGTAATGTGTAATCATGAGGCATCAAAGCCGAACAGACTGCATACTATTAAGAAATTGCTATAGATGGAAGGAAAGTAGTGTGGAAACCTACCAGAAAACAATTAACCAACAACAAATTCAATACCTAAACAGTATATTTGACCTCTCAGCTTCCCTATAAAATCAAAACATTTCAACCAGACAACCTAAGAAGATGACAAATGTTTTGATGAAGAATGCAAAAACCTAAGAAAGGAACCTATCCAACCAAAAACACAGAGAGACCCAGAAATCCACCTTTACTATGGTGAAACACTAAAACTTAACAGAAATACACTAAGGAAAAAGAAAGAACAGCACGCCTGAAATCAGCTCAATGCAATTGAAGAACCCATAGAATCTAACCACTTCTGGGAAATCTGGAACACACTAAACAAACAACATGAAAGTAATCTATCCAAAACGGAGATGTATGGATAAACCACTTCTCCAATCTGTTTGGCTCTATAACAAACAACAAAAACATATACATGATCAATATAAAATCTTAGAATCAGCTATTAAAGACTACTAGAACCCAATGGATTCTTCAACTACATTGAATGAACTACAGGACAAAATATAAACCCTCCAACCCAAAAAGGCCTGTGGTGTTGATGGTAACCTAAATTAAATGATAAAATATACAGCCCACAAATTCCAACTGGCTATCCTTAAACTCTTTAACATCATCCTCAGCTCTGGAACCTCCCCCAATACTTGGAACCAAGGACTGATCACCCCAATCCACAGAAGTGGAGACAAATTCAACCCCTATACCTACTGTGGGATATGCGTCAACAGCAACCTTGGGGAAAATCCTCTGCATTATCATTAACAGCAGACTTCTACATTTGTGTGGTTAAAATTGGCAAAAAAACAAACAGAGGGCTGTGGGGTGAGACGGATTAAGCTTAAGCGCCACCCTCTTCAACATATACAGTGCTTTCGGAAAGTATTCAGACCCCTTGACTATTTCCACATTTTGTTACGTTACAGCCTTATTCTAAAATTGATGAAAATGTTTTTTTCCCCATCAATCTACACATAATAACCCATAATTACAAAGCAAAAACAGGTTTTTATAAATGTTTGCTAATTTATTAAAAACTGAAATATCACATTTACATAAGTATTCAGACCCTTTACTCAGTACTTTGTTGAAGCACCTTTGGCAGCGATTACATCCTTGAGTCTTCTTAGGTATGACGCTACAAGCTTGGCACACCTGTATTTTGGGAGTTTCTCCCATTCTTCTTGGCAGATCCTCTCAAGCTCTGTCAGGTTGGATGGGGAGCGTCGCTGCACAGCTATTTTCAGGTCTCTCCAGAGATGTTCGATCGGGTTCAAGTCCGGGCTCTGACTGGGCCACTCAAGGACATTCAGAGACTTGTCCCGAAGTCACTCCTGCATTGTCTTGGCTGTGTGCTTAGGGTCGTTGTCCTGTTGGAAGATGAACCTTCACCCCAGTGTGAGGTCCTGAGCACTCTGGAGCAGGTTGTCATCAAGGATCTCTCTGTACTTTGCTCTGTTAATCTTTCCCTCGATCCTGACTAGTCTCCCAGTCCCTGCCGCTGAAAAACATCCCCACAGCATGATGCTGCCACCACCATGCTTCCCGGTAGGGATGGTGCCAGGTTTCCTCCAGCTGTGACGCTTGGCATTCAGGCTAAAGAGTTCAATCTTGGTTTCATCAGACCAGAGAATCTTGTTTCTCATGGTCTGAGAGTCCTTCAGGTGCCTTTTGGCAAACTCCAAGCGGGCTTTCATGTGCCTTTTACTGAGGAGTGGCTTCCGTCTGGCCACTCTACCATAAAGGCCTGATTGGTGGAATGCTGCAGAGATGGTTGTCCTTCTGTAAGGTTCTCCCATCTCCACAGAGGAACTCTGGCGCTCTGTCAGAGTGACCATCGGGTTCTTGGTCACATCCCTGACCAAGGCCCTTCTCCCCTGATTGCTCAGTTTGGCCGGGCGGCCAGCTCTAGGAAGAGTCTTGGTGGTTCTAAACTTCTTCCATGTAAGAATGATGGAGGCCACTGTGTTCTTAGGGACCTTCAATGCTGCAAAAATTATGAGGTATTGTGTGTAGATTGATGACGATTTTTATTTATTTAATCAATTTTAAAATAAGGCTGTTACATAACAAAATGTGGAAAAAGGGCAAGGGTCTGAACACTTTCCGAATGCACTGTATATCAATGAATTGGCACAGGCTTTAGAACAGTCTGCAGCACCCGGCCTCACCCTACTAGAATCTGAAGTCAAATGTTTACTGTTTGCAGATGATCTGGTGCTTCTGTCCCCAACCAAGGAGGGCCTACAGCAGCACCTAGATCTTCTGCACAGATTCTGTCAAACTTGGGCCCTGACAGTTAATCTCAGTAAGACAACAATAATGGTGTTCCAAAAAAAGTTTGATTTGTGACCTGTTGCCACAAGAAATGGGCAACCAGTGAAGAACAAACGCCATTGTAAATACAACCTATATTTATTTGTTTATTTATTTTCCCTTTCATACTTCAACTATTTTCTCATTGCTACAACACTGTAAATAGCCAGTAATATAACATTTGAAATGTCGATATTCTTTTAACATTTGTGAGTGTAATGTTTACTGTTAAACATACTGTATGTTTCCCATGCCATAAAGCCCTTTGAATTGAGAGCGAGAGAGAGAGAGAGAGAGAAAACGAACTAGGGAAGCGAGAGACAGAGAGGGACTGTACGCGCTGTGCATGAATGACCGATCCATTTCATAACACATTTAGAAAACTTGCTACATGGATCATCAACTCACGATGATGTCCACATCCGGTCTGGTTTTCTGGAGAGTGTATCCCGAGTCACTGTCGATGCTGGATCGGGACCCGTAGATGATGGATATGGGAATGTCGGGTCGGATCTGTCCGATACGATCTAGCATCGGTCTCTTAGCCCAACCACATGGTACTGTCATGTTCCTAAACGCTGTTTCACCACTATGGAGCAAGAACGGATGTTAATGCGTGTGCGTGTGCGTGTGTGTACGTGTACGTGTGTACCTACCTGGGCGTCTGTGCATTGAGATGGTAGATGTAGTCTGATACAGTGTTGTCATCAAACACTGAAGAGTACTTCTGTTTAAAATCTGACCTGATGGTCTGGACCAACATAGGACCTGAGAGAGTAAGAGAGAAATGGAGAGAGGGATGGAGGAGGAAGGAGAGAGGGATGGAGAGAGGGATGGAGAGAGGAATGGAGAGAGGAATGGAGAGAGGAATGGAGAGAGGGATGGAGGAGGAAAGGAGAGAGGGATGGAGAGGGAGGGGATGGAAGGGAGGGATGGAGGAGGAGAAGAGAGAGGGATGGAGAGCGGAATGGAGGGAGGGATGAATGGAGGATGAAGGAGAGGGGTGGAGGCGGGATGGAGGAGGAAAGGAGAGGGGATGGCAGGAGAGAGGAGTGGGAGAGGACGAGAGGAGCGGATGTGGAGGAGAGGGGTGGAGAGGGAGGAATGGAGGGAGGGAGTTGGATGGGGAGGAAGAGGATGAGGAGAGACCTGGAGGAGGATGGAGGGGAGCTTGGAATGGAGGGTTGTTGGCCGGAGAATGGAGAGAGGAGGAGGGGGATGGAAGGAGGGGGAGAGGGGGGGAGAGGCTGGAGCGGAGAGAGATGTGGAGGAGGCTGGAGGAGGTGGCGGGGCTGGGAGAGGATGGAGGAGCAAGGAGGAGGGATGGGAGGGAAAGGGAGAGGCTGGGGAGGAATGGAGAGCGGAACGGAGCGAGGATGAGGGAGGGCGGGGGGGGCGGGATGGGGGAAAGGAGAGAGGGATGGGGGAGAGGAATGGGAGGGAGGCGAAGAGGGGGGGGGGCATGAATGGAGAGAGGGAAAGGGGGCGATGGAGGGGATTGGAACGGAGGGAGGCTGGGGGATCGGAGAGGGGGATGGAGCGGGAGGGAGGGAGGAGACGGGGAAGAGGGAGAAGAGGGAGGGGAGGACGCAGAGGAATGGAGGGAGGGAGGGATGGAGAGAGGGATGAATGGAGAGAGGAAAGGAGGGAGGGAGGGACGAATGGAGAGAGGGATGAAGGGAGGGAGGGAGGAGGAATGGAGGGAGGAATGGAGAGAGGGGGTTGGAGGGAGGGAGAAGGGAATATCCCACCAATTAACACCTTTATGCTGTAACATCTTTCAACTTGTGTGTGTGGATGTAGTGTCCAGCCTGTCTTAGTATATATGCAGTTGAAGTCGGAAGCTTACATACACCTTAGCTAAATATATTAAAAAACTCAGTTTTTCACAATTACTGACATTTAATCCTAGTAAAGATTCCCTGTCTTAGGTCAGTTAGGATCACCACTTTATTTTAAGAATGTGAAATGTCAGAATAATAGTAGAGAGAATTATTTATTTCAGCTTTTATTTCTTTCATCACATTCCCAGTGGGTCAGAAGTTTACATACACTCAATTAGTATTTGGTAGCATTGCCTTCAAATTGTTTAACTTGGGTCAAACGTTTCGGGTAGCCTTCCACAAGCTTCGCACAATAATTTGGGTGAATTTTGGCCCATTCATCCTGACAGAGCTGGTGTAACTGAGTCAGGCTTGTAGGCCTCCTTGCTCGCACACGCTTTTTCAGTTCTGCCCACAAATTTTCTATAGGATTGAGGTCAGGGCTTTGTGATGGCCACTCCAATACCTTGACTTTGTTGTCCTTAAGCCATTTTGCCACAACTTTGGAAGTATGCTTGGGGGTCATTGTCCATTTGGAAGACCCATTTGCGACCAAGCTTTAACTTCCTGACTGATGTCTTGAGATGTTGCTTCAATATATCCACATCATTTTCCTTCCTCATGATGCCATCTATTTTGTGAAGTGCACCAGTCCCTCCTGCAGCAAAGCACCCCCACAGCATGATGCTGCCACCCCCGTGCTTCACGGTTGGGATGGTGTTCTTCGGCTTGCAAGCTACCCCCTTTTTTCCTCCAAACATAACGATGGTCATTATGGGCAAACAGTTCTATTTTTGTTTCATCAGACCAGAGAACATTTCTCCAAAAAGTACGATCTTTGTCCCCATGTGCAGTTGCAAACCGTAGTCTGGCTTTTTTATGGCGGTTTTGGAGCAGTGGCTTCTTCCTTGCTGAGCGGCCTTTCAGGTTATGTCGATATAGGACTTGTTTTACTGTGGATATAGATACTTTTGTACCTGTTTCCTCCAGCATCTTCACAAGGTCCTTTGCTGTTGTTCTGGGATTGATTTGCACTTTTCGCACCAAAGTATGTTCATCTTTAGGAGACAGAACGTGTCTCCTTCCTGAGCGGTATGACGGCTGTGTGTGTCCCATGGTGTTTATACTTGCGTACTATTGTTTGTACAGATGAACGTGGTTCCTTCAGCCGTTTGGAAATTGCTCCCAAGGATGAACCAGACTTGTGGAGGTCTACAATTTTTCTTCTGAGGTCTTGGCTGATTTCTTTTTATTTTCCCATGATGTCAAGCAAAGAGGCACTGAGTTTGAAGGTAGGCCTTGAAATACATCCACAGGTACACCTCCAATTGACTCAAATTATGTCAATTAGCCTATCAGAAGCTTCTAAAGCCATGACATCATTTTCTGGAATTTTCCAAGCTGTTTAAAGGCACCGTCAACTTAGTGTATGTAAACTTCTGACCCACTGGAATTGTGATACAGAGAATTATAAGTTAAATAATCTGTTTGTAAACAATTGTTAGAAAAAGTACTTTTGTCATGCACAAAGTAGATGTCCTAACCGACTTGCCAAAACGATAGTTTGTTAACAAGAAATGTGTGGAGTGGTGGAAAAACAAGTTTTAATGACTCCAACCTAAATGTATGTAAACTTCCGACTTCAACTGTATATCGTACCCAGTGATCCAGCCAGTCTTAGTATATATATATATCGTACCCAGTGGTGCAGCCAGTCTTAGTATATATTTATCGTACCCAGTGGTCCAGCCAGTCTTAGTATATCTATCGTACCCAGTGGTGCAGCCAGTCTTAGTATATCTATCGTACCCAGTGGTCCAGCCAGTCTTAGTATATCTATCGTACCCAGTGGTCCAGCCAGTCTTAGTATATATTTATCGTACCCAGTGGTGCAGCCAGTCTTAGTATATATATATATATCGTACCCAGTGGTGCAGCCAGTCTTAGTATATATATATATCGTACCCAGTGGTGCAGCCAGTCTTAGTATATATATATATATCGTACCCAGTGGTGCAGCCAGTCTTAGTATATCTATCGTACCCAGTGGTCCAGCCAGTCTTAGTATATCTATCGTACCCAGTGGTCCAGCCAGTCTTAGTATATATTTATCGTACCCAGTGGTGCAGCCAGTCTTAGTATATATATATATATCGTACCCAGTGGTGCAGCCAGTCTTAGTATATATATATATATCGTACCCAGTGGTGCAGCCAGTCTTAGTATATATATATATATATCGTACCCAGTGGTGCAGCCAGTCTTAGTATATCTATCGTACCCAGTGGTCCAGCCAGTCTTAGTATATCTATCGTACCCAGTGGTCCAGCCAGTCTTAGTATATATATATCGTACCCAGTGGTCCAGCCAGTCTTAGTATATATCTATCGTACCCAGTGGTCCAGCCAGTCTTAGTGTAGCCAGGAGGTTGAAGGGATTCATGACGACCCCCATGGCTCTGATCCACACTGGGATAGACTTCTCCTGATCCAGGCTCTCTGGGCGGGCCGGGAACCCCCAGGGCTCCACAAGGATCAGGTGTTTTACCCTGTAAACACACACAGTGTGAACACATACACTGAGTGTACACAACATTAAGGACACCTTCCTGATATTGAGTTGCACCCCACCCTTTTGACCTCAGAACAGCCTCAATTCCTCAGGGCATGGACTCTATAAGGTGTTGAAAGCGTTCGACAGGGATGCTGGCCCATGTTGATTGAAATGCTTCCCACAGTTGTGTCAAGTTGGCTGGATGTCCTTTGGGAGGTGGACCATTCTTGATACACACGGGAAACTGCTGAGCGTGAAAAACCCAGCAGCGTTGCAGTTCTTGACACAAACTGGTGCACTTTGCACCTACTACCATACCCCGTTCAAAGGCGTTTAAATATTTTGTCTTTCCCATTCACCCTCTGAATGGCACACATACACAATCCATGTCTCAATTGTCTCAAGGCTTAAAAATCCTTCTTTAACCTGTCTCCTCCCCTTCATCTACACTGATTGAAGTGGATTTAACAAGTGACATCAATAAGGGATCATAGCTTTCAACTGGATTCACCTGGTCAGTCTACAGTATGTCATGGAAAGAGCAGGTGTCCTTAATGTTTTGTACACTCAGTGTACGTATGAACACACAGTATGAACACAAACACACCACACACACACGACCCCCCCCCCCCCCCCCCCCTCCTCCTCCTCTCATCCCTCTAACCTGTGTGGGTGTGTGAGTGTGTATGCAGCAGCCAGGTATCCTCCCAGGTTGTGTCCCAGCAGGATAATCTCCTCCAGGCCCACCCTGTCTCTCCACTCCTCCAGGGCCCCTAGGAACTGCTCCTCTGCCCCCTGTGGGTCCATGCTGAACAGGGGCCTGCTGCTTCGACCGAAACCCAGCAGATCCAGGGCATACACTGCTCCACTGCCACACAGAGAGTCCAGGTTCTGAGCCCACAGACCCACACCACCCCCAAACCCATGGAGAAGCACCAGCGGAGGACGGGGATGGGGCTGGAGAGAGGGCTGGAGAGAAGTGGGATGAGGCTGAGACTGGGGCTGGGGGGAGGGATGTGCCTTGGCGTTGAAGGCTATGGTCCAGAGATAGTTGCCATTGGATATCGGGACATCTTGCCTGGAGAATGGGGTCTTCACAGCTGAGGAGAGAAATGGATGGACGAGAGAAATGGATGGAGGGATGGAGGAGAGAGATGGAGGGAACAGGGAGGGAGCGCAAAATAAGAGAGAGGAGATAAGATGTGCAAGTATGATGGGTAGGAGACAGGATGTAGGCACACACTCTTACCCTTGAGCATTTTGTCCTCTGCATCCTTCAGCTGAGAAGGGGAGGTGGGGCACCAAGATGGAAGCCAACTGGATATCCACCTGGACCAGCACACACAACATTGCGTAAAGGATCCTGCTGATGTTCTCGAAGTAAACTCATAAACCCAGTGACTCAGTGAACTTTGACGTCCAACGATCACGGAGTCAGACTTCTAAAACAACGACAGCCTTATAAACAAACTTCTACAATAACGTCCCCTTATCTACAGTAGTCTAGCTATGTTTAATTTAAAACAACATTACAACCAATGTGCAACAAGGTCTCCCTCTGGCTGACTAGTAAGATAGGCTAATGTACGATCTATTGGGTCTTCCTTTCAGTGTAACAAGGAACAAAACCCTTTATGGAATCAATGATAAGAGTATTTTTAGCTACAGGTTTGAAACGCATTCGTAATGTCACAAAGTTATGTGGCTGGCTACAATGCCTGGTGGTTGTGTGTCTGTGTCTTGGTAGTGACAGACATATCCACGGTCGAATAATCTTATCTCCACTGAGCGATGTCATTCTGTAATAAATACTGTACATTCAAAGGTCCACGTGACGTAGCGGCACCAAGTTCACAGGAAGGAATATTTCCATTTGTCAAGGTAGATCATTTAATAAAAATAAAATAACATGCATCATTTTGTCCCAAAATCGGACATATTTTAGTGAATTCAAAGATTTCATGGAAGAGGCGCTATATGGCTATGCATTTGAATTCTAGTCGGGCCTACTAAAATCAAGTAATTGGGCTTTTAAAAAAAAGAACGTTTACATCAGTCATTAACGATGAGGCATATCGCGCAACGGGGTAGCCAATCATTCCTTAAATAGTCTGTAAATTGTGGATTTGGAACGGTTTAGAATAGCTCATCATAATAACTTCGTAAAAAGTATATTAAAATCCACTCACCCGTGCTCGGCTGGTTGCAGCTCCTCCGCCATCCTCCTCATAGTGAAATGTGATGATTATCTGTCATCCATGCAGAGAAACGAAGTAGGAGTGGTAATCGGTAACACCACCTCACACACCATCTTCAGGCGTGATAATAGCCAATAGGGGAGAGCGGGGGCAATTGTTAGGGACAGTTCGACTCTAGGTGTCCTAAAACAAAATGCACCCCCCTCCCCAAAATTAAAAATATTTTCACATGACCTTCCCCTTGTATTGTAAAAAACTAAAACAAAAAAGGCACCCCCCCCCCCCCCCCCCCCCTCAAAATAATATTTACGGCCACAAATACCAATAACTGTTGCGACCCTGTGTTCATAAACGTGGATATGATATGGACTTTGTCACTTCAGCATGCTTTTGTGGCACAATCGATTCCACGCAGGGCTACGGGCCAGAAGTTTGAAGGTTCGCCGACCACCACCGACGAGCTCACTCTCCCTGCCTGTTTCATTACACCTACACTATGATCAGAGCCGGTTGCAGACAATGATCAGGTAGGGGGAAATCAGATTTTCAACATTTTGATGCCATATTTATAATATATGCAACACATTTTCCACCAACAGGTTTCTGTGCCAATACACCACACAACCAATAAACAAAGCATACCGACTTCAGGCGCTTCAATATCATGGTTTGCGATTTTAACGCCACAATAAATACACTGTCAATCTCGACAAACAGAAAATACATCCCTCACTACCTTGTAGGTTTACCCAGTATCGAAGGCTTGGCTTGACAATTTACGAATGTCATTAAACTGTTTAGTGTTTTGTAACATATGTCTATTTCCATTCATCAATTAGCCGCTGCACAGTTTGGAATGATTGATTGATTTTATTTGTAAGTTTAAAAAAATACATATATACACAGTACAAATATTTTTTTAAGTGACCGGGATCGCACGATAACATTTACATTTTAGTCATTTAGCAGACGCTCTTATCCAGAGCGATTTACATGAACAATTAGGGTTAAGTGCCTTTCTTAAGGGAACATCGACAGATTTTTCACATAGTCGGCTCAGGGATTAGAACCAGAGATATACACACAAAAAAGCTTATACTGTTCACACATTAGCCAGCTTTTGACATTCTTTTAAAAAGTGCTTATGGTTGGTAAGGCTTTGAGTTGCTGTGGTAGTTTGTTCCATTCAACAGCGCCGGTATATAAAAATAGGTTCTTACCTGATAGACTCTTATATTTAAAACAATCAATATTAGAGTCTCTGGTATTATGCTGGTGGACATCCCTAACAAATGAAAAATATTTGGATAGATACCTGGAGGCTGAGTCCGTTATAATTCTGTGAACCAGACCGAGTTGAATTAATACTATTTCCACAGATAGCCGGCATAGCTGCTTAAAATGCTCCACCTCCAGATGAGTGTGATGGGGGACTATAAGTACAATTCTTACACGCTTGTTTTGGCTGGTCTGTATGGTTGGGGCTGCTGGTGAACCATGAGGTGCAGGAATAATTTAAGAGACATTGGACTAGCACACTTGCCAGAGTCTTTAGGGCAGGGTTTCCCAAACTCGGTCCTCGGGACCCCATGGGGTGCACTTTTTGGTTTTTGCCCCGGCACTACACAGCTGATTCAAATGACCAACTAATCATCAAGCTTTGATCATTTTAATCAGCTGTGTAGTGTTAGGGCAAAAAACTAAACATTCACCCCTTGGGGTTCGAGGACCGAGTCTGGGAAACGCGGCTTTAGGGTGTCTATAGCTACGTTTCCATCCAATTGGCGACAGATTTCAATGGGAATATTCAACAATCTGCATAAAAACAATTGGCGCATTTTCCCCACCAGAGTTGAATTTCAATCAAATTGACTTGTTGCAGATAAAAGTCTGTGCGTAAATACATTGTGCGCACAAAAATAACTTTTGCGGTTACATTCCCATGTACCGAATAAAAAAATACAAGTTAAATGGGTTTCCATGGCATTTTCAACTCTAGGCCTACTGATGGTTTTGTCACAAAATATGTTGTGTAGGTATAGTTTTATATATAAACCACTCTGGTATTGGGCACGTGCGCTCTAGCCAACAGTTCACAGATACAGTGCAGGTATAGCCTACATGATGAGGTTATTATGGACAAAAGAGCAAGATTATTAGTATTTGTCAAATGGCAGCTAAGCATCGATCATCATGTCACCAGAATAAGACCCTCGATATCTATTGAAAGGAGCATCAAGCTCATCACCGTGCACTTTCACCACCCTGCGATGTTCATCAGAATTTATTTTATCTGTAGCCGGAATAAACTGCATTTCGTAAATCGTACTGGGAGGACCACACAACATATCATCATGTGACTCCCAAATTTACTTCAACGTGATGGTTATTATATCAATAGTTGCGCATAAAAACGTTCCCACCGCAATTTCTCACATAATAAACGTTACTGACACAAAATGATCCCACTAAAATGTACTTATTTTACCAGGTCAGTTGACTGACAACACGTTCTCATTTACTGCAACGACCTGGGGAATAGTTACAATGGAGAGGAGGGGGGCATGAATGAACCAATTGGAAGCTGGGGATGAATAGGTGCCCATTATGGTATGAGGGCCAGTCTGGGAATTTAGCCAGGACACCGGGGTTAACACCTCTACTCTTACGATAAGTTTACCTACAAATGTGCTGTTTCCACCAGGCCTGTCATGACACAGGCCGACATGTACTTTTCTCGCATAAAAAGACAGGATTGAAACCTTTTCAATGTCAACCCATTTTGAGGATCCTGGAATTACATTTTGGACGGACGTGCGCATGCCTACTGGACATTTTTGAAGTAGCCTAATCAGATGAAAACAATGTGACAGGTTGTGTTTATGCCACATAGAAAAAAGTTATTCATTTAAAAGTAAATTACAAATATTTAGTCTATATTGAAGCATTAGGTTCTAGGTGCACGAGGAATAGCTGCTCGGATTGGAGAGGAGGCAGAGCGCGTGTTAAACAGCCTTAATAAATGGACAAATCGGACGATTTGGGAGAATAATGATCTGCAACAGACAGTGCATCTCAGTATCAGATGTAAAAATACAGCTAGACTGCCCTTCTACTGTGCCTTTCTAGACCTTATAAACTGTCCAGAGAGGACCCACAACTGATCCAAATGGAATGAAACATTCAAATCACAGGGCTTTTGCACCGTTATTCAAATGATATTTTCACTGCAGTCTACAGTAAAATGTTGTACTCACTTGAAAACAATAGTGCAACTATTCATTGCATTGTGGTGTTGTAGGCTAGTCTAGATAATTGTATTGTCCCTAAACAAGATCAATAGGGGAGCTTTTTGAGCTGCGTGTCTGTCTTCTCTGTCATGCGCAATGATTCACCAGGCCTCTCCGCTGCCTATCAGCTATTCCTATTGGTTCTTCTGGATGCTTTTATGTGTGGTATGATTGCTAGTTGCCCTATTGCAGATCTGGACAAACAATCCACCTACCACTGTTGTCACTATGAATGGTGGATAGAGGGCAGGATAGACAGACTGGTAGACTATATTGACCTGTGGTATAGTTAAGCAATAAGGCCGAGGAGGTGTGGTATATGGCCAATATACCACGGCTAAGGGCTGTTCTTAGGCATGACTCAACGCTGTGGTATATTGGCCATATACCACAAACCCCCAAGGTGCCTTATTGCTATTATAAACTGGTTACCAACATAATTAGAGCAGTAAAAATAAATGTTTTGTCATACCCGTGGTATACGGTCTGATATACCACAGCTGTCAGCCAATCAGTACTCAGGGCTCGAACCACACAGTTTATAATAAAAATTAGCGTGCTGAAAAGTGTAGTGCATAAGGGAAGTACCAAAACATCTTTATATAGGGGAGGAGGATGTAAACATATGAGGAAGTTTGGCTAGGATGGAAGAAATTACAGGGCCTTCAGAAAGTATTAACACCCCTTGACTTTTTCCACATTTATTGTGTTACAGCCTGCATTTAAAATTGATTAAATATAGATATTTTGTCACTGGCCTATGCACACAATACCCCATGATGTCAAAGTGGAATTATGTTTTTTTTCGAAATGCATGCAAATTCATAAAAAAGAAAATCTGAAATGTCTTGAGTCAATAAGTATTCAACCCCTTTGTTATGGCAAGCCTAAATAAGTTCAGGAGTAAAAATGTGCTTAACATGTCACATAAGTTGCATGGACTCACTGTGTGCAATAATAGTGTTTAACATACATGTTTTTATGACTACCTCATCTCTGTACCCCATACAATTATCTGTAAGGTCCCTCAATCAAGCAGTGAATTTCAAACACAGATTCAACCACAAAGATCAGAGGGGTTTTCCAATGTCTTGCAAAGAAGGGATCTGAGACGGGAGTTTTTCAGGATAGGAAAGAAACAGAATGGAGCTAAGCACAGGCAAAATCCTAAAGGAAAACCTGGTTCAGTCTGCTTTCCACCAAACACTGGGAGATGAATTCACCTTTCAGCAAGACAAGAACCTAAAACACAAGGCCGAATCTACACTGGAGTTGCTTACCAAGAAGACAGTGAATGTTCCTGAGTGGCCGAGTTAAAATTTTGACTTAAATCTGCTTGAAAATGGCAAGACTAGCAATGATCAACAACCAATTTGACAGCGCTTGAAGAATTTTGAAAATAATAATGTGCAAATATTGTACAATACAGGTGTACAAAGCTCTTAGAGACTTACCCAAAAAGACTCACCGCTGTAATCGCTGACAAAGGGGATTTTAACATTTGTATTGACTCAGGGATGTGAATACTTATGTAAATGAGATATTTTTGTATTTCATTTTCAATAAATTTGCTATACTTTCTAAAAACATGTTTTCAGTTTGTCATTGTGGGGTATTGTGATTAGATGGGTGAGAAAAACCTCTATTTAATCCATATTCAATTCAGGATGTAACACAACAAAATGTGTATGAAGGCACTGTAAATTGTAAGAACTGCAAAAGAGCGAATGTAA